TGCTGGCCCTGTGATCAAAAAATATCATTGTAAATAAATACATCAAAGAAATGTATTCTTACGATCACATCAACTCTCTTTTTCATGGCCAAAACATAAAAACTATCCAAATGTTTTTCAATTAAGTGGATAAATTATAATAAAGTGAGGTAGATAGCTTCTGCCTGATACACAGGTCTCCATGATTTTCTTCCATACATCTTTCATGCTTTTACTGAAGTATTCTTCCAATGGAATACTGCCAGTTCACACTGCCTACAGTCACCTCCATCTACCTGATACATTTTAGCCCTTACCACTTATCAAAATGAACCTTTTATGTTCTATCTGGACCATATTTACCATCAAGGATGTAGCCTCCATGAGTGAAGAAATGTATCAATTACATCGCAGAATTATTACCTCTATGTCAGAATAACATCTGACATAACAGAACATAAAATGATTTTTAGAATGGGTAAAACAATAAAAGCAAAAAGAGTTGCACATCTGTATCTCAAACATTTCTGGAATCATCAGGGCAATGGGACAATTCAAAGAATCTAAGCTAAATAATTTGTCCAATTTTAATGAGTGAACAGTCAAAGTACAACCTGGAAGAAGGGTAAAAAAATTTTCAGTGGCTAATAGCCACATCACCTCTTACCACAGAAAAGAGACTCCTGCCTAGCTATAATGCACAAGGAGCACAGGTATGCCATCCAGAACAAAGGAATGATCCTTAGGCAAGCTGGAATTTCTGTCATTCAAATTTTCTTTTGATCCACTCCAGAAACTTGTGGCAAGTTGTTGTTGTTGTTGGTGGTGTTCTAAAAATTAGTGTGTCAACTGAAAGCCTGTGTTTCTGAATAGTTCACTGAAAACCAAGAGATGAAGGTGAATTCCCATGTCACTATGAAAACATGGAGCCACGTGTCCAAAGTAAAGTGAGAATGAGCAAGAATTGAACAAAGCATAAAGACAAGAAACAAGCCATCTCAAAACTCACATAAGACAACTAAGAATGGCTTGAACAAATGAATGTTTTAGGCAATCAGAAATAAGGTTTGCTCTCCATTTTTGATCTGTGTAGGTTCCACCTTTACTAACTTTAAATATGTGAGTTTATATTCTCTGACATGCATGGTTTCTTATAAGAAATCAGCTCTTGTCTTAATGAGAATGTTTTGTAAATTGAGTCACTTTTCTCTTTACCTCATTCAAGATTTTCTTTGTCTTTTTTTAAAAAGGTTAATGATAATGAATCTCTTTGAGTTTATCCTTCTGAGAGCTCTAAATAATTCTTGGTTTTGTTGATTAATGCCTTTCATCACATTTAGAAAGTTTTAAGTGATTATTTTCTTTTAAAAAGTGTTTCAGAGTCTGTATATTTTTCTTTATTCCTTTGCTTCTCTGATAGACTAATTAACATTAACACCTATGTTCATATTTACTGATTGTTTTGTGTGTTCAAGTCTACTGTTCAAGTCTCCTGTTAATTTTTGTGTTATTGCAACTTTCAGATTGATAACTACTTTTGGCTCATTTTCAAAATTTCTACATAATTGATATTCTCCATTTGGTAATGTCTCATCTTTCTGGGTTGCTATAGTAGCTTGTACATATTTTTCTCCAGCTCTTTTACATATATTTAAAACAGTTGTTCTAAAGTTTCTGTCTCTTAAGTTCAGTGTATTGATGTCCTCAGAGACAGTTTCTTAATTTCTTATTAGTGGACGATATTTTTATATTTTGTGCATGATTTATAACTGTTTTGTTCAAAGGCAAGCATGTGGGATATAGTGTGGTGTCACAGGAGATCAGATTCATTCTCTTTTTTGAGATTTTGAAGCTAAGTATTATGAGTTGTAGTTGTTTGTTCCTTTGGGCTGTTTTGTAATCTATATTTGTAATATGCTATTATTTGCTGTAAATGAACATTGGTGTCTCTGTTTTCTTTGCTATGTGATTGACTGATGCTTTGACAGAAATATACTTGTTTGCCTTTCCTATAAAAATGAATCTCCAGATGCCAAGATGAAAGATGATAGAATAAAAGATGCCCTGGCATCATTGCTTCCCCAGAAATACAATTAGAGACAATTCAAAGTCAAGACCATCACTCTACTCATGAAATTCAGGAAAGAAGCACAAATACTTCATGTGCCCACGAAATGCTGATAATTTATGATTGGTGATATGGTTTCGATATTTGTCTCACCCAAATCTGATATTGAAATGTAATCCCCAGTGTTGGAGGTTGAGCCTGGTGGATAACCTTTGGGTAACTGGGGTGAATTCTTCATGGCTTGGTGCTTCCATTACTATAGTGGGTGAATTTTCATAAGATCTGGTTTTTTAAAAGTGTGTGGCATCTCCCTCTCCTTTTGATCCCACTCTCACCATGAGATGTGCCTGCTCCCACTACATGTTCCATCATGAGTGAAAGATCTCTGAGGTTTTTCCAGAAGCTGAACAAATGCTGGTGCCATGTTTTCTGTACAGCCTGTAGCACTGTGAGCCAACTAAATCTCTTTCCTCTGTGAAACACCCAGTCTCAGGTATTTCTCTATATGAAGAAAGAATGACCTAACATAAAAAATGATACTTAGGAGTGAGGCATTGCTATAAAAATACCTGAAAACATAGAAGTGACTTTGGGAATGGGTAATGGGAGGCTGAAAAGGTTTGGATACTCAGAATAAGACAGGAAGATGAGGGAAAGTGTATGGTATTTCCCCTCTGACCCTATTGCTTCTGCTCTTGCCATGTGATGTGCCTGTTCCTACTTCACCTTCCACCATGAATAAAAGATGCCTGAGGGCTCCCCAGAAGTTGAGCTGGTGCCATGCTTGTGCAGCCTGCAGAACTGTAAGTCAATTAATCTATTTCCTTTATAAATGACCCAACCTCAGGTATATCTTTATAGCAATGCAAAAATGACTTAATGCGACTGGTAAATAGAATGATCATTTTAGACCCTCTTTCTCAGGTTGGCTTAATGCCACTCACACAGAACTTCCCTAGACCTGTTGTGAGGCAGGAGGGCAAAACTGGAGGTAGGCTTTAAATTATCTCATGAGTCTGAAAATCTTTACAGAAAGCCTGCAGCACTGTGATATGTTTCTATCTCACAGAGTCCATTGGGACTATGATGTTTATTGTAGCACTAGTCACAATAGCTAAGAAATCAAATCAATATGTGTTCATCACTCAATAAAGAGAATGTGAAAAATGTACACAATGGTATACTATTTGGTTATAGAAAGAAACAAGATCCTGTCATTTGTGACAATATGGGTGAACCTAGAATATATAATTTTAAGTGAAAAAGATAACTTAAATGAAATAAACCATATATTGAAAGACAAATACTATATGCATGATATCACTAATATGTGGAATATTGGAAAGAAAATCTTATAGAAGTTAAGAGAAGAATGGTGGTTACCAGGACTCTGGGAAGGTAAAGATTGGGAGAGATTCGTCAATAGTTGCAAAGTTACCATTAGACAGAAAAGATAATTTCTGATTTTCCTTTACATAGTAGGGTGACTATAGGTAATAACAATGTATCTTATATTTTACGCTAGAAAAGAGTACATTGAAAGTTATCACCATAAAGAAATGATAAAGGTTTGAAGTGACCTTCATGCTAATAACCCTGTACTACTACACTTGTCTACATTCCACCCAAGAAAACACTCTCCCAAGGTCAGCTTTCTAGGCAGAGGTAAGAGTCAGCTCCCATGGTGGGGCTTAGACAGCCCAGGGGAGGAGGCTTGTTTGCATGAAGTATCCCCCTCATCTTGGGTTGCTGCAGGTAGTAGGAAGGACTTGGGCAGCTGAGGCCCAGCTGAGGGTCCTCAGGATGCAGAGCTGTGTGGGGGTACCCAGCCTGGGATTCTCCCCTCTTTCTCTTATTTACTACACAGGTGACTGGGGCCAGGCATCAGGGCTGTGGATAAAAGGAATAAGGATTGTGCATCTGTCTGTGCCCACTGTCCTGCCTCTCTCACCCTGTGTCTGTCCTGATGTCTGGGTCCCAATGGCCAATTCATGCTGACTTAGTCATCTGCAGTGTCTGAGTCTGTGGGCTGATGAAAACCAGCTCCTGTGCTGGAAGCAGCAGCAACACTAGGCAAGGGCATGGTCCTGATACCCGAAGTTCGCATGGGGCCCCCAAACTCCTCATCTATGACAGCAGTCATCTGCCCACAGTGGTGAACACTGCCTTCCTGAGTATCTGTGGGCTCCAGCCCAAGGATGAGGGTGATTATCCCTGCTCAGCTTGGGACAGGGACATCAAGCTTATTCAATGCTTCAGGTACTGTGAGGCTAAAACATGAGGCCCACCCAGTGAGATGTTTTCCCTGTGCAGCCCCCAAGCCTTGGCCAAGTCAGCTGCTTAGCCCTGGTGAGTTGTTTCTTAATCTCTCTCATTCTTCTCAAAAAATAATTTAAAAAATTAAAGATAAATTTTGAAGACAAGTAGTCACCATTTCTGTGTTAAATATCCATATCTATATTTATATGTGCACATGTATACACATACCCTCCCACAAACAAAAAGTGTAGGATATTATCTTAATGTTTTAATAATGTCCACTCATAAAGAATGAAAACACACACACTGGTCCCTAATGTTGAAATACCAGCATCACTTCCTTTTTAATTGGAAAACAAATAGTGATTATGGCTCGTGCAGATATTGGGTAACATATTTTTTCTAGCAATATGAGAAGTAACACAAACAACAAAACACATTAAGTCCAAATTTTTGTGTGTATATAAATATATATATTTATTTTTAGTCTGATTTTATTTACCATTTGTGTATTTATTATTTACCATTTATATATATCTACATATACATCTATCTATACATATATTTTATTCTGATTTTATTTACCATGAATTAATTGGTAAGAATTAGAAAAACTATAGAAAATACATCCTCATATACTTTCAAAAATTAGATTAAAATATAGTATTTTATAATGCTGACACAATATGAAAAATAACTTCATAATTAAATGTTCATCACAAAGTATGCAGTATATCTAAGGAAATCACTTTAAAACTCACTTTTTAATATAAGTAACCATGGCAATTGTGTTTTTTTTAAATGCGAGACACTAAAATAATTTTAGCATTAAGTAGACGTGGTTGCAAAAATGTTCTGCTTACATTTAAATGTTGAATTTAAATGTGTTTTCTTGAGAAGATTCCTGGGTGGGTATAAGCAAAGGTGACTGCAGACCCTACACTACAGCCTGGCACTTCTTTCCAGCCCATTATCAAAGGCTCATCCAATCCTATGCGTGGTCCATCATAATCTTCTGACTGGCATGCCCTCCATGGGCAGGGGCCCCCCTCAGGCAGAAGGGTGATGTTACCTCTGGGACATGGTGCAAAGTGTAACAGGGCCACCAGAGGGCTGTTGTGGCCCTTCCTCTGAGATAAATGACAAGGAAACAGCTGCGAATGGTACATCTGGCTCCTCAGGTGGGACCCTCTGCTCAGAACTCCATGGGCCCAGGGTTTTTTTCCCCTTCCATGTGCCTGGGAACCACACATCAGAAGTTCACCAGACTCATGACCTCCACCAAGAAACTCCAAAGCAGAGGGTCCTGATCCATGGCTCAGCAAGGGGTTGTGGGGGAGTCAGAGGGGTAGAAAATAATTTGAATGAAGGGATCATGCTTCCATCAGAGGGAAAAGATAAGAGAGATGTGGGTATCTCTGTCTCAGAAGATGGACTCAGGAAGCAGAGCTCTGGGGCATCTGCAGTATGGCCTAATCTCTCTCCTCTCTCAGTGCACAGATATATGAAGTCTGCATTTAAGGGAGGGTCCACAGATACAGGGAATGCTATCTCCTCAGGTATTCAAGCTAGGTTGTGGGCTGGCCCTGAAGCTCTCCATCTCTGTGACTCTATGCTCTTCACTTCGGAGTCCTGGGCAAAGTCTTTGTTGGCCCTGCCATCCTCAGAGTCAGGGCCTCTGGCAGGAGGTCACCACCTCCTGCTCTAGGAACTGCAACATTCTTGGATCCTGTGACGTGTGCTGGGACCAGTTCTTACCAAATGTTTTCCTAACATTCTGCTTCTTGGAAATATCAAGGCCTCACCAATTCCAGATTACTCTCTGGCTCCTGTTCAGGCAACAAGGCCTCTCCATCTCTGGTGTCAAGCTGTAAAACAAGACTTATTCATTACTGTGACACATATTATGCTTACACAGGGTCCAGGTGTCTCCCACATCCACCAGAGGGTGCTGTGGTTTAAGCATCCGCTCAGGTTTCTCAAGCTTCTCAGCCGTCAGCTCCCCTCTCTCCTGCCCCTTGTAGGCACTTCTGTGCTCTCCCTAGACTAAAGGTCTCCCCTAGTGAGAGTATTTATTTTTCTCAGCGGTTGTTCAGACTAAGGTCAAAGGAGGGGCTCACAAAGCCTCCAGAAAAGGGAATGATTTGCATGACCACCTCCCACCATGAGGATCAGGGTGACAGATAAGAAGTATTGGTTGGCTCAGTCCTAACTATGTCTCAGGAAGCAGAGCCTGAGGCATCTCCACCATGACCTGGGTTGTGTTTTTCCTCACCCTCCTTGCTCATGGCACAAGTGGCTGCCTGCAGGGAATTCAGGGAGGGCTCCTGGATGTCACTTGGGATGATGGCATTCCCTCCTCTCAGGGAACTAGTTCTCATCTGTCCTCACTGCTCTCTGTGTAGCTCCCTCCTTGCAGGTTCTTTGGCTGACTTTGTGCTAGCTCAGTCACACTCTGTGTCATGCTCTCCAAGACAGAGGGTCACCATCTCCTGCACATACAGCAGTGGCAACATTGGGGACTACTATGTAAACTGGTAGCAGCAGCACCTGGGCAGTGCCCCCACAGCTGTGATCTACTATGATAATGAAAGAACCTCTGTGGTCCCTGATACTTCTCTGGCTCCACTGACATCTCCTCCAACTCCGCCTCCTTGACCATCTCTGAGATGCAAATTGAGGATGAGGCTGACTACTACTGTCATTCTTATGATAATAGCTACAGTCTCGCAGTGCTGCTGACCCATGGGACAGTGAAAGGAAAACTCCCAGAGCACCCCTGCTCTGCCCCAGGTCTGTCCTCAGCCTGTCTCCACCAGCATGAGTTGCTTTTTCCTGTCCCCTGCTCTGACGTTTGCATTAAAATTTTCTGTTTATGAGTATCTAAATTTTCTTTCCTTTAAAGTACACATTTTTTCTTTCTTGTCTTCATGGATATTCTGATCCTTGTGCAATTACCTCATGAAGAATATTTGATTTAAAAAAGGGCTACTGGCTTGGCACAGTGGCTCACACCTGTAATTCCAGCACTTTGGGAGGCCGAAGCAGGTGCATCACGAGGTCAGGAGATTGAGACCATCTTAACATGGTGAAACCCCATTTCTCCTAAAAAAAATACAAAAAGTTAGCCTGGTGTGATGGCAAGTGCCTGTAGTCTCAGTTACTCAGGAGGCTGGTGCAGGAGAATTGCTTGAATCTGGGAGGCAGAGGCTGCTGAGATCACTCCACTGCATTCCAGCCTGAGGAACAAGAATGAGACTCCACCTCAAACAACAACAACAACAACAACAACAACAGCAAAACAGGGCTTCTGAACATTGTCACTTTAACACTGTGAGCTGAATCATTCCTTGTGTGTGATGGCAGACTTTCTGTTCATGGTTGGACATTTATAATAATTATTAGGACCCACACATCAGACATCTATAGCACCCTAATTTCCAAATGTTGACAAACAAAATAATCTTCAAATATTGTCAAATATCCTGGGGAGATATCACCACAGAATTACCCCTTTCTGAGAATAATTGAATTAAAAGAACATGGTCTCAGATGTTCGGCAGCCTTTTACTTTGAGTCCTCCTTATTTCATTCCACCAAAAATAAGGCTACCTGCATTATCTCTGTACTTCCAATTTCCTATTTGTTAAATGTGTTGCATACAACTCCAAAGATTATACTGATGGAAAAATAATGTTCTAAGCACCATGAGGACAGAGAACCTGTTACCCAAGTATACAGCAATTTTTCCTGACCAAAGTGTGGAGCACAACTTTTGGCCATACTTCTTGCACAATTGTTAGTTCAAATTTTTACACAAAACAGCTAAAACATAACAGGTTCTTTTTTTTTAAACTTACAGTCTTAGGGATACTTTTCAAGCATGGTATACAAAGATGATCACAATTATGACAAGGTCTTCTACTCTTGGTGTTTACATTTCAGAGTGGGCAAAAAACAGCAGACAACAGCAGCCTCAGAACTGAGTGAATATTTATGTCCTATATTTAACCATAGCACTGGATACAAATTTTACCTTGTCTCCATTTTTATATTCTTGGATCTGCACTATCCAGTACTGTCCCCACAAATTGCATGTTGATATGTATATCTCAAAGTTAATTATATTAAATAAGCTCTAAAAAGTATCCCTCAGCCACACCAGCTTCATTTCGCCTCTTCCTGAACTCAGGCACTCCATGGCTCCCATATTGTAGAGTTCAGACATAGGGCGTCTCCACAATGGCATAAAGTTCTACTGCACAGGGCTGAGTTGGACAATCAATTTAACATTTCCATAGGCCTGTTTCATTACCTGTAAAATGGAGATAGAGTTAACATTCTACTTCTCTGCAGCACTCTCCTCTGGGGAGTATTACATTGACCCCATCTCCTTACAGATGTCAGAAGTAATCATGTAGCTGGTTTTGGCCACTGGGATGAGAAGAAGTAAAATGTGAAATTTCTGAGCAGAAGATGTGTAAGATTGGCCTTCACTGTGTCAAATGTTATTGTTTCTATGCTATGGCATCCACATAGACTTCCCAGCCAACCTGCATCCAGGCATGAAGGCGAAGTGAATCAGAGCCACAGCAAATTCAATCAGAGGTGGCAATGGTGGGAAAGTAAAAAATAGACATTTATTTTTGTGAGCCACTGAAATTTTTGTAGCTTTTTTCTTTTCCTAGAGCAAAGCCTGACTGCTATGAAAATTATATATAAATATGGAAACTTCAGTAACAGAAGTAATAAAATATATAAAATAAATTTGTCTTTGTGGGCACTGAGTACACTATTTTACTGCAAAGTGTTTTTTTTTTTTTTTTTTTTTGAGACAGAGTTTTGCTCTTGTTACCCAGGCTGGAGTGCAATGGTGCGATCTAGGCTCACCACAACCTCCACCTCTTGGGTTCAAGTAATTCTCCCGCCAGCCTCCTAAGTAACTGGGACTACAGGTGTGTGCCAACATGCCCAGCTAATTTTGTATTTTTTTTTTTGAGACGGAGTTTTGCTCTTGTTACCCAGGCTGGAGTGCAATGGCGTGATCTCGGCTCACCGCAACCTCCGCCTCCTGGGTTCAGGCAATTCTCCTGCCTCAGCCTCCTGAGTAGCTGGGATTACAGGCACATGCCACTATGCCCAGCTAATTTTTTTGTATTTTTAGTAGAGACGGGGTTTCACCATGTTGACCAGGATAGTCTCGATCTCTTGACCTCATGATCCACCTGCCTCAGCCTCCCAAAGTGCTGGGATTACAGGCTTGAGCCACCGTGCCCGGCCTAATTTTGTGTTTTTAGTAGAGATGAGGTTTCACCATGTTGACCAGAATGGTCTAAATCTCTTGACCTTGTGATCCACCCACCTCGGCCTCCCAAAGTGCTGGAATTATAGGCATGAGCCACCACATCTGGTGCAAAGTGTTTTTTATAATTTTATTTATTGGCAAATATTTAATTAGGCTGTTATCATAATAAACATTAAAACAAACATGGGAGAGCAAAAATGATTTTACTGAGCTGTAGATGTAGAAGTTAGACAACAGATTAGAAGCATAGGTTAATTCCTGTTGGTGGAATTTTTACAACATATTTACTGTAAATGATGATCTTAGGAGTAATTGCTTTTCTTTTTGTTTTGTTTTTGACTTATTCAAACAGAAGAAAGACACAAGAATAATAACCTACATACATAGAGAATCACAAGAGCCATAGACTTGATTAACGATGTGCTCATAGATGACACTAAATTTATGTTTAAAAAAACACTTTTCTTGCTTCAATAATAAGTTAACTTTAGCTTATCGTAATTTTTTTTTGAGACAGGGTCTCACTCTGTCACCTATGCTGGAGTGCAGTGGCAAAATCATGGTTCACTACAGTCTCTTGACCTCCCAGGCTCAAGCAATTCTTTCATCTCAGCCTCCCAAGTAGCTGGGACTACAGGTGCACACAACCATGCACAGCTAATTTTTTGTTTGTTTGTTATTGTAGAGATGGAGTTTTGCTGTGTTTCCCAGGCTGGTCTCCAACTTTAGGGTTCAAGTGATCCTCCCTCCTTGGTCTCTCAAAATGTTGAGATTACAGGTTTGAGCCACTGTGCCAGTTGGTTACTGTAACTTTTTTACCTGTTAAGTTTTACTGTAATCTCAGCTCCTTGGGAGTCTGAGGCAGGAGAATTGCTTGAACCTGGGAGGCAGATGTTGCAGTGAGGCAAGATTGCACCATTGCAGTCTAGCCTGTGTGACAACAGCCAAAAAAAAGCAACATTTTGTCTCTTTTATAATAAGACTTAGTTTAAATTATTCTCTATATCTTTATTCTATAAGCTTTTTTCAATTTTTTAAAACTTTTGTTAAAACTCTTGTTAAAAACTAGATATAAACACACACATTAGCCTAGGCCTACAGAGTCAAGATCACCAGTATCACTGTCTTTCACTTCCACATCTTGTCCTACTGGAAGGTCTTTAGGGTCAATAACATGCATGGAGCTGTCCTCTCCAGGATAACAAGGCTTTTTTCTGGAAACCTCCTGAAGGTTCTGCCTGAGGCTATTTCACAGGTAACTTTTGTTTGTTTGTTTTTTTTAAGTAGAAGAGGGTACTGTAAAATAATGAAAAAAAGTATAGCAAATACATAACAGTAACACAGTCACTTATTATCAAGTATTAGGTATTGTACATAATTGTATGTGCTATACTTTTATACTTCAGGCAGCGCAATAGGTTTATACCAGCAGCACCACAAACACGTGAGTAATGCATTGTGCTATGATGTTATGAGGGACGTGATGCTGTGAAGCAATAGAAAGTTTTCAGTTTCATTATAATCTTAGAGGACCACCATTGATGGTTTATGTGGTCCATCATTTTATGCAGTGCATGACTCTGTGAGTACGTGTGTGTGTGTGATATCAAGATAGTAAATTTGATTTCTTTTCTTTTCTCTTTTTTTTTTAAGAGACAGAATCTCACTTCTTTGCCCAGGCTAGAGTGATGTTATGTGGTCCATCATTTTATGTGGTCCATCATTTTATGCAGTGCATGACTCTGTGAGTACGTGTGTGTGTGTGTGTGTGTGTGTGTGTGTGTGTGTGATATCAAGATAGTAAATTTGATTTCTTTTCTTTTCTCTTTTGTTTTAAGAGACAGAGTCTCACTTCTTTGCCCAGGCTGGAGTGTAGTGGCATAATCTTGGCTCACTGCAACCTCTGCCTCCTGGATTCAAGCCATTCTCCTGCCTTAGCCTTCCAAGTAGCTGGGATTCCAAGTGCCTGTGACCACAACTGACTAACTTTTTGCATTTTTAATAAAGACAGATTTTCAGCCTGGTGTGGTTGCTCATGCCTGTAATTCTAACACTTTTGGGAGGCTTGGGCGGGTGGATCACCTGAGGTCGGGAATTCAAGACCAGCCTGACCAACATGGAGAAACCCCATCTCTACTAAAAATACAAAATTAGTCAGGTGTGGTGGTGCACACCTGCAAGCCCAACAACTTGGGAGGCTGAGGCAGGAGAATTGCTTGAACCCAGGGGAAAAGGTTGCGATGAGTTGAGATTGCACCATTGCACTCCACCCTGGGCAACAAGAGTGAAACTCCATCTCAAAAAAACCAAAATAATACAGGGTTTCACCATGTTGGCCAGGCTGGTCTCAAACTCCTGACCTCTGGTGATCCACCCACCCCAGCCTTTCAAAGTGCTGGGATTATAGATTTGAGCCTGTAATAAATTTGATTTCTAATCAGTTATTTGATAATGATTCACTGTGTATTTTTAAAGGCATGCTATAGTGTTGTGGTCATTATTTACTTATTCATTTTAAATATTTTGAAGAATTTTTAAAAATCCAGGAATTAGAATTTTCTTCCAAATAATCAGGGCGGTATAAATGAAAAGAGTTGTCAACATGTTGATAATCACCGAAGCTGGGTGATGGCTACCTGGACATTCATTATGCTACACTCTCTGCTATTGTATATGTTTAATTTTTTTCTTAATAAAAAGAAAAAGAAAACAAGTGGGGATTGACAGTAATCATTAAAGATAAATTGGACTTGATTGACCAGGAAAATGAGGAAACTCACTTTGAAGATCAGGAATAGAGCACTGATCATTCACACAAAACGTCATATTTCTCAGAACACTTTCACATCTCCACAACTTTATCATTGTGTTCCCTTGTTGACTGTGAGTTAGGCATAACAGACATGAAGCTATGAATGAGAAAACTGAGGTTCAGAGAGACTGAATGATTTATCACAGCTAGTAAGTGGACATGCTGGTGTTAGCACTCATGTCTGTCCTTAAGGAGGCCATGGAGACAGGAAGCAAGGATCTTTGGTAGACCATCCAGGATCCATCCTGGAGGAGTTGGCTGCTTACATAGTGGCATCAAATTAGGAAAAAGCTCAAAAGTCACATAGAAAAGTTTAGACTACTGTCAAGGATAGATTATTTTTCTTTCCACACTGCTGCCCTTTGCCCCACACTTCACCCTCTCCAGATACAAATAAATATATAAACGATTTCCTTTTTTTCTTTAGGTAGGCCAAAATGTTCAACTCTCCTGCTTTTAAAATTAAGAAATGGTGGCCGGGTGTGGTGGCTCACGCCTGTAATCCCAGCACTTTGGGAGGCTGAGGCAGGTGGATAACGAGGTCAAGAGATCGAGACCATCCTGGTCAACATGGTGAAACCCTGTCTTTACTAAAAATACAAAAAATTAGCTGGGCATCATGGCGCGTGCCTGTAATCCCAGCTACTCAGGAGGCTGAGGCAGGAGAACTGCCTGAACCCAGGAGGTGGAGGTTTCAGTGAGCCGAGATTGTGCCATTGCACTCCAGCCTGGGTAACAAGAGTGAAACTCCATCCCCCCACCAAAAAAAATTAAGAAATGAGATTTTACAATTATTTATTTATTTTTTTTAAGCTTCAGGAACTGAGTTTTTTTTTTTTTAAGGGAGAAAGAGAAAGAAAAAGAGGGAAAAAGAGGAAAAAAAGAGGGAAAAAGAGAAAAAGAGGGAAAAAGAAATATTACTTCATTCCTAAAATGGGTATCAGTAATGGCCGATCAATATTTTGTGTGTTTAAAGTGGATAATGTATATTTTGTGTGTTTAAAATGGAGTGCTCTATTGAGTTTATTTGTTCTGGTTCTGAGTTCAAGTCCTGGATATCATTATCAATTTTCTGTCTCGTTGAATCTAAATCTCATTATGGGTCTTATGTATCTGGGTGTTAAGATCTCTTATTATTACATTAATCCTTTTACCCTTGTATCCTTGTAGCTTTGAAATCTATTTTATTAATTGTGAG